AATGATTATTCTAATTATATTTTAGATTTTTTATATTTAAAATAAGATGTTTATCCTGTATTTGATTGTGTTTATCTGCAGTTAGTTACACGGATTCAGTTATKGGATGAAATCGGATWGGGATGAACGGGTTTAAGAGTTTAAGAGTTTTTAAGAGTTTAGCCAAATGCATTATAATATAGTATAGATATAAGATAGTATAGATAGTTTAAAATAGGGACCCATAAAAAAGTTCAAGTACGAAGCTCGGCTTAAGCCCGGTCTAAAAAGAACACACACCTGGTGAGCTTGAAAACTTGGTCCCAGGCCAGGCCTCAAAGCCCGATTAGGCCAAAACTGTGAGGGTATGCTCGGCCTAAATAAACCTCGAAAGACTCGATTAAGCCCAAAAAAACCCAGTTTAAAAAAGCCAGATCAGACCCTTTTTCAACCTCAAAGCTTGACTTGGACCCCTTTTTTTTGCTTACTGAAATCGGGTTTGGAAGTCCTTGGCACGGACCTGAAAAAACTCGGGTCTTTTGCATCTCTAGTTTGAAAAATGTTTATTTTGGGAAACATGTTTTTGAGAGGGGAATAGAAGACATTTACGTTATCGATTATAGAATGAGGCTACAAGAGAATTTTTATCAAATACAGAATTTCAAACTCCGAGAGCTTGAAAAAAAATCTTTAACCAGACCAAACGTGTTCGGTAAATCTTATTGAGAGGTAGAGTCTATGGTATATAATATACGCAACTCTTCGTTCTACTCTTAAGAGTAGGGAAGTTATTTTTCTGGAAAGACTCCCAACTTGCGGGAAAAAAATCAGCTGAGCATAAAAAAATCCAGATAAAGAAAAGGTTTGCGAGGAAAGAAAGCAGAACTTTGAAAAATTAAAGAAAAGTTTGAGACACACCTGAATAAGTAACCAATCAAATTTGACCTAGATTTGTTTATCATACTAGAAGGGTACTCGCACAATGAAGCGAGATAAATATCCATTTTAATATTTAGTTTTTATTTTGTCTCTATCGATATAATACAATTTTATGTGGTTTTAAAAATACGATAATGTTTTTATTTTTTAATGAAATATAAATTTGAAGATAACATAAAAATTTGAAAAAATAAATAAATCGATATTAGTATCAAATTAACTATTTAATAGTTCTCGTTTTTTTCTTAATTTAGATTTAATAACAAAGTAATTTATTTTTGTTTAATAATATATTTTTTTATAAAGATAATAATCAAATATTTTGTTAGAAGTCAATGATTATCTTAATTATAATTTAGATTTTCTATATTCAAAATGAATCTTTATCTTGTATTTGATTATACTTATCTGTAGTTAGTTACATGAATTTAAAAATAAAGTTTTAATAAGTTGTACTTATACAAAATTACTTGTAATCTTGAATTTTAAGTAATATGCATCAATAAACAGTATTTCATGCATAAAAAATTGTTTTTAAGAGTTTTTGTCAAATGTTTTATAATATAGTATAGATAACTCATGTAGGTTTTATAGTTAGAATAGACTTGGATAAACTTCTTTCGTCGTGTATTGGAAATCACTTTTCAAATACTACATTTCGTTCTTAGAAATGCCCTGGGTTTACATGTAATTAGTACTGGGATAATCCACATCTGAATTAAGGCACAAATTCGTATATAGGCGATATTCAAATGAGAATCAGAAAAAGGTTATAAACTCGTGAGAACCAACATAAAAATATTTTTTTTATATGATTTGTTTCATCAAAAACTATGATTTAAGATATTTTTTTGACATATATTTGTGTTCACCTTATAAAAAAGTTACATGTGTTTCACTGGGTAAAACAAAAAAGTTACATAAAAAATATTCACGTTGTGAAACTATCACATTATGAAACAACTATATCTAAAGCAACATATTAAATTCTAGTATTTGATGGGAAAAAATCATGTAAAAAATTATTTTAAAATTGGTTCTCATGAGTTTATAACATGTTTGTGGTTCTCATTTGATTTGTTCTCTCTCTCTCTCTCTCTCTATATATATATATAGAGAGAGAGAGAGAGAGAGAGGAGTGTCAGGTTCATACAAGACTGATACGTATTTAAGAAAATAAGATAATGAATATGGACCATATTTTTCATTGAATAATATCTTAAATAATTGATTCTAAAAATAACTAAATAAGGGCATAAAAGTAATTTAGTTACATAAAAGTTACTTAATGCTTGAAAAACAATGATTCAAATTAAAAATCGAAAAAAAAAATAATGAAAACATAATCACATGTGATGTATATCAAAACACATTTAAAATGTATAAGATCACATATGCTTCAAAATGTAATTTGTAATTTACACATATCACACGTAATATTCTTGATAACGTACATTTCTTTTCCATTATAATCAATAGAACATATGATACATTAACGAAAATTAACGATTTAAAAAAAATCCGATTAATTGTGGACATCACATATTATTTTTGACGAAAATTATAAAAAATTATTAAACACTCTAATTCAATAAAAACAAATATTATAAATGAAAAACTAAATCACATTTATTTTAAATGTTGTAAAAAATAAAAAATAAATAAATGAAAAATTAATCATGCTTAAAATATTGAAAACTATAAAAAATAAAAAAATAATGATTAAATGTATTAAATAATCTTTATAGAAATAAATGAATTTCCATATATAATCTGTATACAACAAATGACTTGTCTGCATCTCCCCATTCAATAGGCTAAGCAGCTAGCACCTTGTCGTTCTTGATTTTGTCTCAGCAAAGTGCGTGGATGGGGAACGGTGCCCCTTCCTTTAGTCTTTCTACCTTCTCTCCCGCATCAAGTGCTTTTTTTTATCTTACGTCTGCTTCGGTCTGTGCTTTGGAGTCTTCGTTCCTTTGGTCGTTAGTCTTCTATGTCGGCAACTGCTTGATGACGACGGATTGCATCGTCAAACGTCAATAAAAGAAAAGGGTCCTCATGTTGGACTTAGTAGGAAAGGTAGGGGTTCGGCATGCCCTTGCTTGCGAACTTTTGAGTAGCACTTTCTACAAATTGCTTACGTAAGAACTAGTAGAAAGAACGGAATTTTGAACTAAATAAGATAGCATTGATAGACCGTTGAATGAGAATGCTTGAGTGGGAATCGTCTTAGCAACTGGCTATAGACATGACTAAAAGCCGGCGGGAGCGGAGAGACAATCTTTCACGAGAGAGGGACGAGCGAGTGAAAGATCGGGAAAAAAAGAGGTAGTTTTGGACGATTTTTTTTAGAAATTTTTATTGCATGTCATTATTCAAATAAATGATTGGCCCAGAATTATTCTCTTATTTTCAGTGTCACACAAGGAGCATTTCATGCCACCAGAAGGGATTCGTGCAATTACTTGACATCAATCTATGTGACCTTATCTGAACATTCTGGCACAATTTTGTATGTGTTCTATAGAAGTCGTTATATATGTGTTCAGTTTGAAAAGTCAAATAAAAAACCGAAAATAAACTTCAATTCTAGAGCCAAATTGAATTTATATCAAAAACAAATTCATATTCATAGATTTCGTTTATGAGCCGTTTACTAAACACAAGGAAGTGTTTACCAGGTGTCACTTAGGGATCGTTTACCTAAATGCTTACCCCGTAAGTGCTTAACGTTAGGAGTCAACACTATAATTTATTTTATTGAGTAAGATTGTAGTACATCAAAACGTATCTTATGCAACAATTTACCTAGTAAGCGCTTACCTGGGTAAGAGTCGTCACCCTCACTTACCGGGTAAAACTCTCCATCATTATCATCACTCTTACCAGGTCAGATTCTTGACCTTTGTCATGTTCATCCGGTGAGGAAAATTACCCGGTAAGTACTTACCGGGTAAGCGTTTAGTAGACGGTCCGCTTAGTTTCCAACTTTTTTGGGTCCAAACCAAAACTTTTAACACCGTCTTTTTAGTTCAACGGATTGGTAAATTGTGGAGTACGTTTGTTTCCAATTCGATAAAACCAGGTGGTCCACCCACATCTTGGACATCGCAATTAAGTGGTCCACAACGGTCCACATGCGACCACCATGGCAATAAGGCAGTCCATATGGTACCTCCATATAGCCGGTGGTCCATTCACAGCTTGGAGCCTATGGTGCCGGTAGGTGGTCCACAATGGTGATTCTATATCACTTGGATAATTGACCATGGTCCATGGCACAGCTTGCAAATGGAATCAACCAACCCAAACCATCAAATATGTACATGTAAACTCAACCATTTCTGATCAGTAACCAGGAAAACTCTTCAAATATTTAAATGAAAACTTGCATTAAACTGCAGTATGCCCGTTAGAACTTTATACTTGAATCCGGTAATCCGATTCTATTAGCCTAGAGTAAAAGAAAATATTGAAACTAATATAAGTAATGAACCCATGATGTAAACAACTTCAAGGGGTTCAGTTAACCGAATAAAAAAAAGTAACTTAATTGAGCTCGATGTGATGATTTTTATTGCTAGCCGATTCAGTGGAGTTGCATAAACTAAGTTATTGCTTGTATTTTTGCCTGTCTTATGTGTCCATGGCGATTGCTCCAGGAAGGTGAAGCAGCTTACGAGGCGATATCGGGGATTTTGGCTTATGAGATGGCCCCTTTAATCTGCTACTGCTCTCTTTTGGTATTCCAAGACCTGTGATTCCAAGAACTTTTCTGACTTCATTTGCCAACTCTATGACCATATCGTCTTCATGACCTATTTGGAAGCAACCAGTAACATATCAATAATACCGTTTTAAGTTGAAACATTTATCCAAACCCGCTCCTTTAGCTAAAAGACATTTTACTCTTTTTGGACATCTTGAAATAAAAATTGTTGCAAGTTTTAGGTTTAAGTAAAGGGAATGAAAAGGCCAATAAGCTTTAAGTAAAAGAAATGGTAAAGTATTTCTTTTTTTTTCTGAGATATCTATAAAGAATAATAAACAAGGAACCTTGTGGGGGCAAAAGGAATAGATGACAACGAATAATCAAGTATTTCCAAATGGGAAATATGTGCAAAAATGACGTCCCTATCACGGAAATTGCTGCAATTTTTGTGGGCCACAAGTCATTTAGGAACCTCATGGGGGCAAAACCGAAGATTGGGGGGTGTTTGGTAAGAGGTATTAAACAGTAATTAATGGGAATGAAAATAAAAGAAACTGTTTGGTTTTTTATAATATAATGGGTCCATTCCTTTCAAAAGCCCAGAAGCCCAAATTTTCATTCCAGATTAAACTGAAAATTCATTTCTATTTTCATTCCCTGTCATTTTCATTTTCATTCCTCTACCTGAACCAAACACCCCCTGACATTCGGTTGGTATAGCTTCATGGGATAGAGGAAAGATTCGTATTCATCATATCCTCCCTAGACCCAACTCTATTCGGGGTTCATTCGGTTTGGTTTGAAGAGAGGATTAATAAGTTAAAAGTACTTCATAACTTACCAATATCAAACATCGCCTTCTCCAGCAAGAAAACATAGTCTCTGTTGTTGCCGCAGGGACCAAAAGCAGTGGCAATTTGTCTGAAAATGTACACAATAATGAGAAAAGAACCCAAAAAGGTCTAAAAAACGAGTGTAGAGAGGACGAATAATACAGAACGGTGACACATTACCTCGCCATATCCTCCAATGGTGCAGGCCCAAGATAGTACTTGTTTGATTCCTTGTCTGGAGTAGATGTGAAACTGCAACAAGTAAAACGTTATGGTTATTTACATTTTCGTTTTGTGGAGTTAAAAAGAAAAAATCTGATTGTGGGTACCATTTAACCGAAAAAATGAAGACAGGACCCACAAAATGAAGTTAATCAAACAAAGCCTTTGTTTTATGGGTCTATATACATAGAGTAAGAAGATATAACAATCTGATTGTGGGTCCCATTCACTTGAGAAACGAAGAGAAGACACATAAAATGATAAAATGAAATAAATCAAACAAACCCCCGTATATCCCACCCGGTGGTATGATAAGCAAGTAGAACAGATTGGTGGGACCACAAAATGAGGTAAACGTGTAACCAAATAGAGCAAAAGGGGGAAGGAATAGAGAACAATATATATTGGCTTACACTATAACTCCGGATAAAGTAGGATCATTTGTCTCCCCTTCCTGAATCAAGAGGTAATAAAAATGGGATTATTAGTTTTGTGTTAAAATCATTAATTTGCTCAAGAAAGAATATTAATCTGAATAATAAAATGGGAAAATACACATATGGAACTCATATGTATCTTCACCTTGAAAAAGTCTACAGTTGTCTTCTGATCATACTCACATTCTCTTTTCTCTAAATACTGAAAAGAAAACAAGAAACAATTTGCGTAAGTTACTTTCAACTGTCTCAAGGTTATAAAGCCAAGGTCATGTATAATTTTGATTTTATACAAGCCCATAGAAATCAAGCCTACATAGGCCAAGCAAAGGCTCGAGCATATACCCTATAGGAACCAAGCCAACACAAGGCAAACCAAGGTTTCAGCTTGTGGCAAGCAGAGCCAAAGCCTGAGCTTTTCAAGCTTGGCAAGCCATGAGCCAAGCCTAAACGGCTCAACCTAAAGCTAAAAAACTCAGACAGCTTGGACCCAACTGGCTAAAGATAAAAATGAAACTTCTTGATTTAGTTCCCAAAATGCAAGCATGCATAATGAAAGAGGTTTCAAAATGTAAATATGCTTTATCACAAATGAAACCGAACATACCGCCATTGCCAATCTTTCCTTCTCCTCACCTCCTTTCACACAATAAACAGCGCCCCACTGAAAGAAATAGCAGGTTATGAATTAGCAGTCAGAGAGAAAAGAAAAGAAAAGAAAGGCTTCAAGGAAACAGCCGCTCTACTTTTGAGGGGCTGCATACATCTCAACCTGTCTATGAAATAGGATGTATGCAAACATTGCCTCTACCACAAAGGGTAGAGAGCTTTCCGTACAAAAGAGGAGTTCGAATTCGGTGTTACTTACACAGATAGCTCCTTCCTTGTATTCCAGTGCGCAAGTTCTCGCAGGGTGGTCAGGTGTGCCTCTATGATCAATGCATGCTGTGACAAAGTGGTATGATCTTAAGAACCAGATCATCCAAACAAATGGAAACAAAGAATTGTTGGACAAACCAGAGGACCAAAGGCCCAATAGTATCCAGGTTACCAGTAGATCCCAACCTTTTTGGAGGTAAAGGATTCAACCCTCAACAGAGGTTAGAAGTGTGTAAGTTTTGCTCGTATATAAATATTAAATGCTCAAATAAAAAAGATATGTTTGGACAAATTCTTACCAAGATCAAACACACGGCGGTAATTCTTGATGTACCCAATCATTTTTTCATCATACTCAAACCCAGGGTTCCATACCAATGAACCATAGCCAAACACCCAGAAAACCATGATTTTCAACTCTTCTTCACAAACTACAAGCTGATGATACTTAAAAACATCAGACAGATAATTCAAAAGATAATAAATTAAAATATGAGCTCTCATAACCTCATAATCAAGACGAGATTCGCTTCGCTTGGCTAATAGAACTCATTATTAGGCTCGTTAAACAGCTTAATTTGGCAAAAAGATGGTGTAAGGGAAATTAGAGTAGATTTGGTATGTACGTAAGCTATATTTGGGTTTTATATACAATTATTGAAGTCAATCATGATAGTTCCAAACAATATTGTAACTTTTTGTGTTGAAAACTCATGAACATGAAGGAATAAACCCATGACCCATACGGAGTTATCATCAAAGAAGTAATGCGTCATTCCCATTTAGGTCTAAAACTAAAAGGAAATTTAACTTCATTTCATCAATATGTTACTTCATATAAATGAACTTGCAGTTACAATACCAATAAATTGATCAAACTTTTAGTCAAAAGATTTGACTTTTTCGATCTCAACATATATAAAATGCAATAACAAGCATCAAACGACCATTTCAGATTAACAGAAAGTCTAATGCTATATAAAACAGAAAAGTCTAACACGTTAAAGGTTTTCGCCCAATTAGGGCGTATCAAAACAACAATCCCCATTAAATCCGATATTATTCAAGAGTAAATTAGAAATTTCTTTGTGTTCATGAGTTTTCACTAAGAAAAATCGCACGATTGTTTGCAACTATCATGATTGACTTCAATAATTTTGCAAACAAGCCAAAATAGCTGAAGTACAAACCGGATCTAACATATCTGTTCTAATTCCTCTTACAACCTCTTTTTGTCATCACACACATAAAAAATACACCAAATAATCAACACAAAATCGATGTTATCGTTAGTCCATTACAAATCAAGACCTACAAAACAAAGAAGTCGATTGATTGCTTACATATATCGAAGAGCGAAGTGTAATGTGCGGTTGTAACAAATCTGACGAGCTTGAAGTTGAAAGAATGAGAACAATCGTCAGATGACTTGGAGGAGAAATAGAAAGTAAACAGAGAGAAGCAAAACTAGGGTTTTGAGATATCTTTCTCTCCGTTCCGGCAAGGATGAAAGAGGGATGACACCTCTCTTTCTGGGTTTTCGCCGGTTGGTGGGGGAGAATGGATGTAAGAAAAGGGACTATTTATAGAAGTATTTACCATATGCCATTCGGTGAAACTCATAGTATAAATGCATGCATCATGCATGTATGATGGGATGATGTATCATCATCATCATTTCAAGAAACATGCATAACTTGTGCTTGGATAATGGGACATAATTAGGAGTGCTCATGAGTCGGGTTAAAGACATTTGAACAATCTAACTTAATATTTGCGGTTTGAAAAATCTTAACTCAATCCAACCCAACACGTACGGGTTGATACTTTGGTACATTAAAATATTCTTCTAACTTTCAATATGTTATTTCTCTACTCATAATTTCATTTTCATCATCAATCATTTGATACAATTTATCTATATTTCTTATGTATATCACATTCAGTTAATTTTCTCAATTTACATATATATGTTCACAGTTACTGGACATATATACGAATGRGTTATATAGAGAWRTGAATAGATTRAAAATATGTGTATATGAAAAACATACATGATAGTGTAATTGTCTAATGTATATATTAATAGAAATTCAACAATCATATTAAATCCAATAAATAAAGGAATATCGGATTCATCGGGTTGGGTTGAGTTCAAATAATAGTAACTCAATATCAACTCAATACCTACGGGTTGACAATTTTACAACTTGATTAGACATCGGGTTGCTTCGGGTTGGGTTATTTTAGCATTGGGTTGGATTGGATTGAATTGATCGGGTTGGTCAGGTTTTTGGACACCCTTATACATAATAATTTGTAAGTTCAAATTTATGAGATTTTAGAAATATTAAATAAATTATTCAATAATATAATATAATATTTAGATAAAAAGTTGTTTGTCATTGACTTTAATTTCACATGAAAACCTCCCTCCAAAGATATTAATATAAAAAGGACATTTTTTCGCTCACTAAACGGTTGAAGTTAGCAGGAGTTTGAGATCGAATTCAGGACCTATCTTGTATTTAAATAAAATCGTCTCGTCTTTCCCTAACTAAGCTACATATTATAGTCGATATAATTTGATACTAGGATGAATATTCATACTCTGACGTGACTCGTGAGATACCGAGAATCCAAAAATTGAACGAAATATATGGATACGGATATGAAATTAAAAAAAAAGGTAAATCTTAGAGTTTATCAGTTAATTTTTATACAGTTTGCTTCTCAGGATTTCTAGCTTCCAGATATTTTAATGTTCTTCAGTTATCAGATATAATAATCAATGTTCCATAAATAAACAAATACAATTATCAAAAATTTATTATCTTTCAATTAAGGGGGTGTTTGGGATTGCTTATAAAAACAACTTATTGACTTATTCCGGTGTGACACCGGTAATAAGCACTTTTGAGTGTTTGGATAAACAACTTATACTGGTGTCAAACCTATAGTAAGGAGTGTTTAAAGAAGTTAAACCCTTCTGACTTATAATAAGTTGATAAATGTTTTTATAGAAAAACATAAGTTATTTCAAATAAGCAATCTCAAACACCCCCTAATTAAAAACAAGTTCGTATTAAACTATTACTATACGCGACTTTGGTATTTTAATTATTTATAATATCCATTACATTTGACCCATTGACCATGATCATGATATTTACGCGTAGGTCATGATGTGCATGCATGTCATCCATATATTGAGGAGGTTCATTGAATCTGGACATAACTCGTCCACATTGAACCTCTCGTCTTGCATTAATTACATTAATTGATTTAAAAAGTGATTTTATGAATAATAATAAATGGGATAACAAAAATAAAATTTACCATAAAATGAATTATTTTTAAAGACTTCCAAAAATAACCATATATTGGAAAAAAAAATCCTTTTGCAAAACCCCTTTTTTCTAATTTTAGAAAATTGTCATTTTGGCTAAAAAAATCTCGTGTTTTGTGTTATTTTTGAAAAGAGTATAAAACCGTAAAAAAAATAGGTTTTGGAAAAGGAATTGGAATTTCGAGGTGATTAACGGGTGGTTATTTTGTTGAAGTTATGAAAAAATGGGTTATTTTGTGGTAAGATGTCTCTCTAAGATGATTATTTTCGATATTAACTCGTGATTAATTTATGAGTAAAGTTCAATGTCGATCTCTAACATTTGTAATTTTCAACGAATATCGTAACTAAATTTCAAAAACTCGGATTTGCCCTCTTGCGTTTGTCAATTCATAACAGTGTTCCCTCTGTCTAATGGTCGTTAATGTTTTCTGTTAAATACAGTTAAATGAGGGATATTTTAGTAATTTTCACTATTTTCTTAGTTATTATATTAAAATTGCAAAAATATATTATATTATAAATTTGAAATTGTAAAAACGAAAATAGCAAGAATTACTTAAATATCCCTCATTTATATTATATTTTTAAATTGTAAAACGAAAAAAATTTAGCTTTTTTTAAAATAAAAAATATGATATGTTTTTTTAATTTTAATATAAAACTAAGAAAATAGTAAGAATGACTAAAATACCTTACATTTAACTGAATTTAATGAAAAAAGTTAACGACCCCTAGACAAATGGAGCAAAACCGTTGGAAAATTGACAAAGGTGATGAATCAAATCCGAGTTTTTGAAGTTTGGGATGATATCCGTTGAAAGTAGGTATGATTTTTGTACCAACTAAGGGGGTGATTGTGATTGCTTATTTGAAACAACTTATGTTTTTCTATAAAAACATTTATCAACTTATTATAAGTCAAAAGGGTTTAACTTCTTCAAAAACTTCTTATTACCGGTTTGGCATTGGTTTAAGTTATTTATCCAAACATTCAAAAATGCTTATTATCGGTGCTACACCGGAATAAATCAATAAGTTATTTTTATAAGCAACCTCAAACACCCCTTAAAAGTTGAAGTTACAAAATTATTTATATTACATTTTACCCACTAGATTTAGATGCACTAACACCATCGATTAAATATAACAACCTTATCAAAATTGAACTTTACTTTTAATTTATTAAATATATTTTAAAATAAAATGATTTCCAATAAAAAGAAGAGTAGAAATTACTTGTGATTTAAACAAAGGATTAAAAATTAAACATGTTATTGTTAATTAGATAATATTAAAAGTAAGAGTCTAAAATCATATTATTAAAATATTACATATATTTAATAAATAATATTATTTATTTCTCATAAAAATTGAAGATCAAGGTTTTTTGTTAGGGGGTGTTTGGGATTGATTATAAAAATAACTTATTAACTTATTCCGGTGTGACACCGATAATAAGCATTTTTGAGTGTTTGGATAAACAATTTATACTAATATCAAACTGGTAATAAAAAGTTTTTGAGGAAGTTAAACTTTTCTGATTTATAATAAGTTGATTAGTGTTTTTGTAGAAAAGTATAAGTTGTTTCAAATAAGCAATCCCAAGCACCCTCTTAGTGTTAACATAATAAAAAATTATCTCTCTATCATGGTAATCATTTTCTTGAGTTCTCTGTTTCACAATTTTTTTTTTTTTTGTTTTCTGTATTTTAGAGAAAGTTTTGAAAAATCTGTTAATTTTTTTATTTTAAAGAATTTATTAAAAATGTTATTAGATTCATTGAATGTAGACCTAATCTCAATTGACAAATGCCATTTTGTTAGTTTTCCACGCGGAAAATGCCTTTTTTGTCCTTTTCCAAGAATTTTAATTGATCTTCGGTCAAGGGTAAATCTAGAGGTGTAAATGATGCGAGTCGAGCTCAATTATCTCGAATTCGAAACCCAATTTTCAAGTTCGGACTCAACTTAAAAACTCGTGTGTAGTAAAAATCAGAGCTTGACTCAAACTCGATAATTATTTCTTGAACTCAAACTTAAATCAAGCTCGAATCAAACTTACTCATTGAAATTTATGAAATTTTAGGGTCGTTCTCTTATAAATTTTAAAACTTAAAGATGTTTTCTTAGTTTTTATAAAACTACAGAGATCAACTTCAAACTTAATCATCAAATCAAAAAGACAAAGTTAAAAATTTCATTCATCTTCCTCTTTTTTATAACATTTTTTTTGCTTTCCTTTACCATCTATTTTCCAATGTGGGACAATTTCACTAACCTATTTTTATAGTTTTTTTGGTCTTTTTTTAATTGTGATTTTAATAAAAAAAATTGATTAATTTTTATAATAAAAAAATGCATAATTTTGTTTAAATATATAAAAATATAAGACATTATTATTATTATTATTATTATTATTATTATTATTATTATTATTTATATTTTACAAATTTTATCATAAAAATTGATTATATTTTAAAACTAATTATATATAAAATAATCGAGTATCTCATGAGTTTTTCAAGTCAAGTATTGGGTAGCTTGACTCGACTCGTTACTATGTTGAATCGAGCTCGAGTTTGATTCAAGCCTATCCAAGTCAAGTGTTAACCGAGCTTTAACCGAGTCAATCTCGAATAGTTCACGAGTTGTCTCGTATCGTTTACACCCCTAAGTAAATCCATCAAAATCTATGTATAAGTCTTTATTTATAGATCAAAAATATAAAATAAAGACCGTCCCTACATATTTAATTCGTTTTAAGAATAAAATTAAAAGAACAAATTTAAAACATATATCAACAATATAATTCACCTGATCTATAACTGAAAATTTGCCTGTGACTTGTGATTTGTTGTTTTAAGAAATTACATGTTAAATGAACGTTAACGTATTTATACGTTACTCGGTTCATGCAACCCACTCATTTATGGTACCTAAATATTCTGATCAATCAAAAAGTTACATAACGACATACTACAAACAAAGTAATATGTGAAAAATCCAAAAAAAACCCAATGAACCTTCCATTTTCAGTGATTTAGTCCCTAGATTTTTTTAATACATAAATCATTGAACTTTCTTATTTTAAAAGATTAAGTTGCCGAATTTTTCTTAATAAATAAAATCATTGAAGTATTTGAAATTGATTACCTACATCATTTTAACCCAAAAAAATTATTTGTAATCAGTTAAATAATATAAATTAGTTTTATCGTTCTCA